TAAATTATTTGCCTAGTTTCTAACTGGATTCTTTGAATTCTTTATATATTCGGGGTATCAATCTTTTATCCATTCTGTTGGCTGTCGCTTCATTTTGTTAGGTGTTTCCTTTGCTGTACACAGCTTCTATTTCTGAGCGCTTTTTTTTTTGCATGTGCTGTTGGTGTCTTATTCAAAGCAAATGAACATCGCCTTTGCCAATGTCTTGAGGTACTTTCTTTAATACTTTAATAGTTTCAGATCTCTTATTTAGCTATTTGATTCATTTTGAGTTGATTTTTGTAAAGAGAGGGAGGTATAGAGGCATTGTTTGAAACTGTTGCACATGAAACTCCATCTTATTGAAGAGACTTTTTTCTTCAGGGGTAAGCTTACCGCAGGCGTGTGGATTTATTTCTGGGGTTTCATTTCTGTTTGCTTGTTTGGTATGCCTGTTTTTAATGCCACTACTATGACTATTTGGTTACAGTAGCCCCATAGTATGTCTTGAAACCTGCAATATGATGCATCTATCCCTGTTCTGCTTGCTCAGGGTAGCATTAGGTACTCAAAACTTTTTGTGTTTATGAATTTCAGAATTTTTTCCAATACTGTGGATTTTCTGATGAACACTGCATTGTATCTGTAAATTGATTTGGGCAGTATGGACATTCTTTAACAATTATTTTTTCAGTTCATGAACATGGAGCATCTCCATTTTTGTGTGTATGTTCAATTTCTTTCATTAGTGTAGTATCACTTTCATTGCAAAGGCCGTTAACATCCTTGGTTAAATTTATCCAAGGCATTTAGCCAATTTTTTGTGGTTACTGAGTATAAGATCACACTTCCTTGTTCTATGAGTCTGTTACTGGTGCATGAAAATGTTAATAATTTGGGTGTATTTGTATCTTGCAACTGTGCTGAATTTTCTTATGAGCTACAGTAGTCTCTTGATGGAATTTTCTGGCTTCTCCATATGGAATCATGTCATCTACAGACTCAGAGATAATGCAACTTCTTAACTGAAGCCCTTTTACATCTTTTTCTTGCTTAATGATTTTTCTAAAGCTTTCTCTAGAGTCTTCATTTTTATAGGCTCTAGTAGTAAGGAGAAAGGTCCTGAGTCATTAAAGGAAGAGGATAATGTGAGAAAAAGATAACCTCTTCGAACATGAGGGAGCAGGCCTCCATCATTCTAGGATCCTGAGGTCTAGTTCCCCAGGTTGCTCTGCATTCCTTGTGCTTTGAAATGCAGTTTACCCTGCAGGCTGTGATGCTGGGTTCAGTCCTTGCTCTGCTGGATTCAGTTAGAACCATGAGGCTACAATCTTTCTTGCTAGGTTTCCACACATCTGTAACAAATGTGGTACTCTGGGAATGGAGATAGGAAAGGACTTCTGTTCCCTGGAGATGTGGGAAAGTCAAAGGTGACTCCTTTTCCAAGAAGTTACACACAACCACAGCGTGTGCTCTGAAAGTTGTGGGGAGGCAATAATGAGAGTTCTCTGAAGTAGAGTGGCCCTGAGATTTTTTGGGTAGCTCTTTATTGAGGCCTTAGTCTATTTTGACTAGATTTCGCTCTACCAATGATTACCTCCACAAGATGTATAATTTGACTACTCTGTTTCATAGGGATTCCTGTGGTCATGGGGCAGGGACTTTCATGAGCGTTGTGCTATATATTATTTTCTTTATGCGGCCATTCTTGGCATCTGTGTTCCTCCTGGATTGCTGCTAATCTTGTACTAAGTTTCAACATTCTTCCTTAGTTACTCATTTGAAAATGTAATCATTTTTCTTAATCCAATTATCGTGCCTGCTGATGGAACTTTTGATTAGGTTTCCTATGCCTTTATTCCTTTCTCCCCACATAGAGATGACCAAAAATTAAATATTTTCTCATTTAATTTTGTATCAAAAGTCTTGAATGTTATATTTTTTTTCAGCTACCATGTTTTTTCTCTTTTCTTGGAGGGCAGAATCAGAGTATCCTAAAACTTGTCTTCAGGTTTAGATCTTATCCTTGATGTAGTCTGTTGCTGAAATTTCAACTCTGTTTTTAATAACACACATCATTTTATTATTTAAAAGATAAGTATTTTTTGTTGTTGTTTGAAAGGCAGAATGACACAGAGAGAGAGAAAAAGAGATCATTCATCTACTCATTCATTCCCCAAATGGTGTGACAGATGGGCCTGGGCCTGGGCCAGAATGAAACCAAAAGTCAGGAAGTTCATCCAGGTTTCCCACATGGATAAAGAGCCAAAACACCTGAGTCATCCTCCTCTGCTTTTGCAGGAGCATTTGCAGGGAGCTGAGCCAGCAACAGAGCAGCCAGGATTCAAACTTGAGCTCCAATATGAGATGCTAGCATTATAGGCAGTAGCTTAACCTGTTGCACAACAATGCTGGCCCCTCTCCCGTGTTTTTTTTTTTTTTTTTTTTATGTGACCTGAATTCTTCATCTCTAAAATTTCTTTTAGATTCTTTCAAGACCATTATCACTGCTCAGTTTCTCATGTGGTGATTCCCAGTTTTATAAATCTGCCTACCCATGTGCCAGTGACATGTTTCAGAAGACTAAGCCTCTGCCAACATCCCATTATGGCACTGATTTGTGTCCAGCTCCCTGCCTAAGACCTAGGAAACTAGCAGAGGATGGCTCAAGTCCTTGAACCCACGCACTGATGTGAGCAATCCATGAAAATTTCCTGGCTGCTGGCTTAAGATCAGCTAAACTTTGGCCATTGTGAACATTTGGGAGTGAATCAGCAGATAGAACCTATTTTTCCATCTCTCTGTAAATGTGTATTTCGAATTAAAATAAAACCAATCTCCAAAAGAAGTTTGTTGATAAAGCATTAGCTCATTCCTTGGAGAGTCATGGTACCTGGTTTTGCACATTTCTATATCCTGATGTTGACATTTACACATCAGTCAGATCAGCAGTCTCACACTTCTCCAGAGTGGATTTCATTGTAAAGGACTTTTTCTAAAGATATCTTTGGGTGCTATTTGGTATTTTTTTTCTTTAGTTCCAGTTGGATGCCGTAGTGTAACTGATGGCAGCAGCAACAGGGTACTGAGAAGATCTGGACTTAATTCCTTTGCCAAGCTCCAAGTAGGAGCCAAGACTTTTCTCTTCAAGCTGAACTATTTGGAGCAAGATGAAAATGGTGATATGAGCCCTGGATTTCTTCTACTCTTCAACATATCCATTTTAATTTTACTAAACCAGGGCATGTAGTCTCTCACATGACTTCTCTATCTCTTGCAACTCGGTTCATGAATAGCTGTCCACATCAGTTTCTGTGTGTGTGTGGGGGGGAGACCTCTAGTATCTAACTCAGTTTAGCTTGTTCCTCCTTCAAGAAAACAAATGTGGAAGAAAATTTATACTGCAAAATGTCACCCTTTTTTGTACCTTATGCCCGCAGAGCATACTTCGACAGGAGAATTTTGTTTAAAAGATAAACAACACTCATCATGGCATGTTCAGTTGGCCATTACCATAGATTTCCAGTTACCAGAAAGATTGAGATTTAATGAAGAGAAAGTTTCATTTTTCTTGTTTAGTGAAAGGGGGAGGGGAATGAAAGACCACAGAGTATGCTACTTCCTTGAAGGAAAGAGGAAAACAATACAAAAATAAAAGCTTGTAATAAATCACTAAAAAGTAACCCAAGAAATTTACAAAGGGATGACATAGATTGGAAGCAGAGTATAGACAGTCAGAAACCAACTTTATCTTGCTTTGCTTTTTGAATCATGCCCTTTTGCTATGCAGTACACATCATCGTGTGTGTGTGTGTGTGTGTGCACGTATGCATACAGGTACATCCATGAAGTCCAGGACTCATACATGAATCGCACTTTGTTTTCTCTTTTCATTTCATGTTTCCCACCTTCCCTAGGCTGAGACCTGGCACCTGCCAAATAAATTCCAATGGGCAGTTTCCCTCTCCAGCCTCTCACACTGTTCAGCAATGTGGTATGAGAGCCAGTAAATTACAGGACCAATGGATTTCATCAGACATGTAAATTTTTCTGCCAACTATGTAATGAATGCTGAGATACTGGTCATTTTTTTTTCTCCCAAGGAACTTTTGTGGCTCTTCAGAGATGACTAAATACAGAAGCTGATACCTTCAACAGTTTGTAACCTATGATATTTTGATTGAGTTTTATAATTTCTCAGCCGGTTCCCTTGCAAATATTCACACCCGTGGAGGGTGGAGCCAGTCAGCATTGAGCGTTCAAGAGCCCTTTGTACCACCTGTTCTACGGCTTTGCAAAGCTCAGGACTGTTAATATGCATGTTCTGGAAATGTTTGTTTCTGGTTCTCTCACCTTTGAAGTTGCTGGCAGCCCTGATTCGCCATCATCTTTATTTTTTTTGTTTGTTTTTACGCTGCTTTTTTTCTTGAAATGTCAATCAAGAACAGGTCTCAGTTCTCTAGGAGTATGAACTGACAGTGGACTAATGCAGATGTGCCAAATGGCCCCTAGAAGATAACTGACCTGTTTGAAAACCACAGCACTAGGTTAACTTTCCTAGTCTATGTATCACTAAGCTAATTACTTGGCTTGGTTTGGGCACTAGTGCAGAGCACATCTGAGAGTGCCTGTTCTCAGACCTTCCTTGTCTCAGCAGGAACTCTGAAATGACATAACAGGCATTTTTTTAATCACTGAGAAGAAATATAAGCCCTTGCATGTCTCTGGTATTGAAAAATTTGGGCCTAATTAAAGTGAGGGAGGAGAGGGGAAAATGAACTCTTTTTTTCCTACTTAAAAGTTTAGCACTTAACTATTTTATAAAAGTGTATAGATTCAGCCTTGAATTTTAAAAAAGAATTTTAATCCAATTAATTTTCTGTATGAAGAAGACCTTTTATGCTCTTAGTAGGATTCTCAGAGATGATAGGTTTCCATTTGAGGTGAATGGGGGTTAAGAAAGAGAAACAAGGAAAAGAGACGAGAAAAGAAAGAACAGGATTTTGTGGGTGAGTAGTCACCTTGTTTCATCGATATAAACCGCTTCCAACACAGAGGCTGCATATTCAATGTTCTTCTTTAAGTCGATGATATTGACATCACCTTTTTCCAGCTGCTTCACTAAGCATCTTAATCTGTTTCAAAAAAGTTGCCAAAGAGAAAGAGAGAGATAAGTCACATTATGACTTGGCAAAACTGGTACAACGTTAAACACACAAATTGACTAAAACTTTTTAACATCATTACTTCTAGCTCATCAAAAATAATTATTTTCCAAATATTTGGCAGAATTAAGCTTAAGGCTTACCCCTTAAGCAATTTTTACAAAGTACATTTACCTGTCAATAACATTAGGAGTGAACATAGCTAACGTGCCACTTGTCAAGCCTGGTCCTCCTGAGATGACAACACAGGCATTTTCCTAACAACAGAATTCCTTGTTTGTTCTAATTCCTCAGAGTTGTTGCTAGGAGATCATTTAAAGGGCACCGTTCTGATCATCCTGCTGCTGTTGATCACCATATACAGCTATAGAAACGAGGATGAAGGGCAAAACCTTCCTACATGCTTAATTGAGATAAGAAGGAAATGCATACATGCTTACTGGTTTTACTGAAATGATTTTTAACCTGAGGCTAAACTAGAAGATATTTTCTCTCATTTCTTCCCATAGGATGATGTGCTCCAAATCTCCGAGGACTTTTAAAGCAAGATTCCTAACTTACAGAAAGCATGTGATAACCGATGCCATTCTTCTAAGCCACAACATACGGGGCAATCTTTGTGCAGCAATAAATGTCTAACAAACTTGACATTGTACAAATTACAACAAATAAGTACTAGTTTTGGAAGCCTTTATGCATTCAATTATAAATCAAACATTTCTGAAAACACTGTCCTATACTAAGCAGAAAAGTCTGAAATATCTGTACATATAATATACAAAATTGTCAGAGATAATTTAATCTCATCCCTGTCCTTAAGTATTTCCAAAGAAAGAACAGAGTGTGTCTTCTCTAGAGGACTATGTTGGAGACAACGTGGCAAATTTTCTGATGATGCACCTTGGATGATTTCTCCTGTCAATCTAAACTGTAAAGACAAGTGAGGAATTTCACAGAAGGTATTTGAATCTCCATTTATACAAACACGTTATGGGGGGAAATTGCATCTATATTAAAACTTACTCAAAAGTGGGGGGGGGGATGGAGAAGGATGAGCCCCTATATCAACAAAGCTGTGTTTCAGTAAATAATAAATGTATTTTAAAAACATAATCAGGAGAATATAATTGTTTCAGTGTTTTCCTTTCAGTGGATAAAACATTAGCAGACAACATCATTGAACAGTACATTTGATAGACACCCCCCGAACTGTCAATGAAGTGAAGCAAAGCACAACAACAATAGCAATGACATTAGATAAACTGACAAATAGTACATGACTTCAAAAGGAAAAACAGGGCCTGGCTTCCAGGTTTGTCGGAAACAGACACTAATGTTACAGAGGAAACAGGCAGCTTTCAGATTTTCTAAAGCTTTTTGTGACCCAAGATGCTGTACTTAGTAAAACTGTTTTTAACTCATTAATAAAGAAGCAAATATTGTCTCATCTGTATCTCCACAGTGGCTTAAGACAATTCATCATCTATCCTTCTTGTGAAAATATTTGAGTATAACTCAATTGTATGATGTGGTTTAGAAACATAAGTGCTCAAGATAGTTTCTCCTGTTTCTGAATAAATGCACTGTATTTGTAGGTAAGTACAGAATTGTCCACACTAAAAAGTGTTTCACCAGGGTCTCTTGAAACTAAGTATGGTCAAATGATAAGATTCCAAAATGAAAAATTTAGGGAAAAAATTTTGTTTCAAAGGAACTCAGATGGAAGAAAGAATCCCTGTACTTGCCAGTATGTGCAGCAAACTGGTCCATTCTGTCCTACATCTCATTCAGCTTTCATACATGTCAATGGGTGTTAAAGCTCAGCCCAACTCAACTGACCCCACTATACAGCAGTTGCCATCACCTGTTTAGCCATGCCTGCTCTCAGTCCTGGGTCTCATGCTCACCAGTGAGAGTTATAGCACATAATAGAGGTGCTCACCATTTCCCTACTGGACCCTCTCCTAGTCCCGGATCTTCACTCTCCATGTAGTTCTGCAGTCTAGCTTTACAGGTTTTACCTCCAGTCCCAGCACTTGCCAGCTGACGCTGTGGCAAAGTCTAACATGCCTGCATCAGTGGATACAGTTGGTTACCCAAGCCTGGCTCTTTCCCTAATCCAGTTGACATACTGGATAATGGGTGTTGTAGCTCCTTGGCCTGGTCTGCCTCCAGTCCCAGCTCTCAAGCTCACCAGTTGAGGTAGTAGCCCAGGAGATGAGCCCTCTGTAGCCGCACCACCAGCCTCAAAACTCTCACCTGTTCCTCTCCCCACTCTTCCAGCCCTTCCCCCACCCCTGGATCTGGCATGTGCTGGTGGGTGCTGTGGCCCAATCTGGAATGGTACCTCAGCATTTGTCGGCAGGTGCTTAGCCTGGCCTTGCCCGATTTGCCCCCCAATTCCAATCCATACTGGTGAGTGTTACAGCCTAGCTCAACCCAGTCAGCCCACAATCTTGGCCCTGATATGAATTGGCTGGTGCTATAGCCTGACCTGAATTGTCCTGCACCCTGTCCTGGTTCTCAGATCTGCCAGTGGGTGTTATGAGCAGGTCCCAACCTGAGTCACTCCCAGAACGGACACCAATGTATGCTGGCTGGTATCTGTAAACTGGCCTCGACTATGCTGCTCCCAGTCTTGGTTTTCACTCTCACCTGCAGGGACTGCATCTTTACAAAGGAATTCCGCAAGCTCCTCTGCCATGGAAGTCTCCTTCCAATTGCAGATATTGCACATACCGGTGGGTCCTTGGCTCAGACTGACTTAGTCCACCTCCTGTCCAGGCAGGAATAGTAGTATTGCCCAATCAGACCAACCACCCACTGAGGCTTACAGTTGGGTGCCACACTTGGTCCACACCAATTAGCTTTTTTCTTTTGTAGCAACACAAGCCAGTACTTACCTTATCAAGAATATAAGCAATTATTTATGAACAGACAGGATTTCCAGAAAGGTCTTAATTCACTTAAACCATTGATTGGAATCAATTTCATTATGCAGGAACATATACATCAAAGCATTTATGAAAGCACACACACACATGCAATTCATGGATATGTATGTACGCACCACACTACTTATCTTCAAGATGTTTGCAATCTCTGCAGGTGGTATGTTTTTGCATATATTATACAAATATTTGCATATAATTCTAACCTCTGCTTTTACTTATACTGCAGTTTCCAAGCAAACTGGTTTGGTCACGATTCCTCAAAAATTCTCACATCATCTTGAATGCAAGTTCCTGTCTCTTACTGAAGTTCCTTCTTCCCATTTCCCAACCATCTTCGGCTGTCTAAATTATGCCTAGTCACTGGGCATTTCCAGGATGTTTCAAATCTTGTAAGACCTTTCATTATGGGATACATTTTGATCTCTCCCTGCTTAGGAACCAAACCACAATTCTTTTGATTCTCAGGAGCAACACTGAAATTTCTCTGACTTCCAGCATCACTTCTGCTTTTTACATTTTTTCCCCCCAAATAGGTCTCTTGCTGAAAAAGAATTATTAAGTATGCAAAGTGGGAAGTCAAATCAATAACAAAGATAAAAATACTTGAAAATGATAGAGATATGTCAAAGGTAGTAGGTTTAGTAGATGAGAATTTTGAAATGATTATTAAAACAAAAAAGTCACATTTTACAGATTACATGAAGTTAACAACTTTCTTAAGAAAAAAAAAGACTAAAGACCAAACATCAACAAAGGATTTGTGGTTTCAAATCTTCAATAAGAATCTTTCTTGGTAAAGTTAAATGAATAGCTACACTGGATATTAACACTAAAATACGACCATTAAGAAGCAGTACATGAAATCACACATTAGTAACTGTCAGGACAAGTAACCATGGTGTCATTTTCTGTAATTCTTGCTTCCTCAGAGCCCAAAGCAATGAAAAATGATACTAGCCATCTGTTATTTAATAAACTCGTCTTACTCAATTTACACACCAATGCTCAGGAATTAAGAATAATAGCAGTCCAAAAAGCAAGGGCTACACGTTTAAAGATACTACAGATACTCAAATCCCTTAAATAATATCTGCCTATAGCCTATATACACAATCTTTCATGTACATTAAATCATCTTGGGATTTCACAAAACACCTAATACAATGCAAATTAATGAGATGTTATATTTGCTTGGAGATTAATGGCAAGAAAAAGAAGTCTGCACTGCTTCAGTAGACATTATTTCCTGAATATATTTTTTAAAATATTGATTTATTTTCATTGGAAAGTCAGATATACAGAGAGGAAGAGAGACAGAGAGGAAGATCTTCCGACTGCTGATTCACTCCCCAAGTGGCCGAAATGGCCAGAGCTGAGCCAATCCAAAGCCAGGAGCCTAGAGATTCTTCTGGGTCTCCCATGTGGGTGCAGGGTTCCAAGGCTTTGGGCCATCCTTGATAGCTTTCCCAGGCCACAAGCAGGGAGCTGGATGGGAAGTGGGCCCGCCTGGATTAGAACCACCCATATGGGATCCCAGTGAATGCAAGGCGAGTAATTTAGCCACTAAGCTACCACGCTGGGCCCAATTTCCTGAATATTTTTTTAATCAAGGTTGATTGAATCCAGAAGTGTGAAACCTGTTATACAGAAGTGTGGCTATAAAAGATGGAAAATGTGTGCTTTTTATGTTTTGTTTTAAAAGCATAAAACTATGAATAATATTTCTTTCCTCTAAAACTCAAAATTTAGAATAGTAAAGATTTTCAAAGGGTAAAAAGGATTACAATTATGAGTTAAGGGTGATATTAGATTCTAGTTTTTCTAGGTATTTTTAGGCACATGTGATGCCAAACAAAGAAATTTGAATTTAACAAGAAAATTAAATATATACTTGTTGGTTGCATAGTCTATGTCCACATATTGAAATAACTGAAAACAAGTACAGGGTGTAGTGTGATAGCGTAGGGGTTAAAGTCCTCACCTTGCACACCCGGGATCCCATATGGGCACCGGTTC